TCAGTCCGCAGGCCAATGCTCTATCCACTGAGCCAAACCAGTCAGGGCTTTTATTTCATTTTTTAATGTGGCTACTATATGTGGCTCTATTGGACAGCACTGCTCTGTATTAGGTTTCATAGGAGTACTTATTTGAGAATATTCCAGCACAACAAAGAAAGAGCATGGAGTAATCCTTTTATTATTTAATAAATAATCTTAATTCCAAATTTTGGGTAATTTTCTTAACATCATTGGGTAGTGAAAACCATGATGTGTCTGAGCCTTGCAGAAACTTAGCAGGGTTAGAACCTGTGTCTTTAGAGGAATAGGAGTTGCATGAGAAAAAGAAGACTCAGGTCAGATTGTGAGAAGTGTTTAAGCCATACATAGCATTTGAACTTCATTCTGTAGGCAATTGGCACTGAAGAGCTGTAGCAGGGGAGTTGTTATATCATTAGAATTGTATTCTGGAAAGATGACTATTGAAGCCTGTGGGGCATGAATTGCAGGGAGCCAGTTATTACTGTGGAGGACAGAACGAATAAAGGCCCAAAATTAGGTAATAGAATAGGGGTTCCGGGAAATGACCAAATGTATTTAAGAAAGATTTGGTGAGGAGGCAAAAGTCTGAATTGATCCAGGGTTGGGAGTTTGCAGGGACAAAGGATGAGGGTTTGAGGGCTTGAGGATGTGATAATCAACTATGAGGAGAGGACAGAAATGAGGTGAGTGATAAAGTGAGGAGGAAATAGAGTGGTCCTCAGACTGAAGGACTATTTAAAGGGTGAAGGGTATACTTTGATATGATCCAAGAATGGGCACGCTACACATATTCTGAGTGGCCATGACTTTTACATTAACTGCCTCCTGCCCCCAGCCTGCCACAAGCATCCAGAATTACTGGAGCTAAATAGTTTAAGGAACTGAGATAGGGCATTGGCCAAATCTCCCACAAAGAAACCGAAACTGAGGATGAGACAGGCATTGCATTCGGGTGTCAAAGTTGTTAGGAAAGGTGAGCTGCTACCTGGAGGCCTGGTAGTGAGTGATGGAGCTGGATAACGCATTAACCTCCGGGTTTTTTATTAAGCCTGTGAACAAAGAGCTGAAAGTATCAAAAAGGCAACCTTCCTGTTTTCCTCAGCTCTGCACTTTCAAAGGCTGACTGTTTCCCTGAAGTCAAGCTTGCCTGTTACCAAGACATTTAAACATGTCTTAGACTCCATTGTGTCATACACACCTCAGAAGCATGGCTTTTCTTCCTCCTTTTTAACATCTTATGTTTTCTATACATTCACTGCTCCTTTTAAATTTATTTATTTCAGAGAGGAAGAGAGAGTTAGAAACATCAACAATGAGAAAGAATCATTGATCAGCTGCCTCCTGCAGGCCCCACACTGGGGATCAAGCCCGAAACCCAGGCATGTGTCCCGACTGGGAATCAAACTGTGACCTGGTTCATAGGTCGACGCTCAACCACTGAGCCATACCAGCCAGGCTCACTGCTCTTGTTCAATTTTAATTTTAAACGCACACACATAAAAGTTTCAAACAGTGTACAAGGAACACTTGTACACCCTTTACCCAGATTCAACTATTGTTGACATTTTGTCCTGTAGCCTTGTTAGTCACTCTCTCTTCTTTAATTTACCCATGCATATATAATTTTCCCCAAAGCATGGATTAGTTGGAGACATTATGTCCCTTCACCCCAAATGCTTTGGCGTGTAATTCTTAAGAACAGGGACATTCCCTTATATTATCACAGTACACTGACCAAAGTCAGGAACTTTAACGTTGCTACAAGTTATTGTTTACTCCAGAGTCCTTGTTCCACTGTTGTCGATTGTCCCCATAATGACTCCTATGGCAATTTTTCTTTCCTGGTCCAGAGTGGAGGGGAGAGCCAGAGAGAGAGGGGGGGGGGGCGGAGAGAAACATTGATTTGTTGCCTCAAGCCTGCAACCAAGGTACATGGCCTTGACAGGAATCAAACCCGTGACCCTTCAGTCCGTGGGCCAAGACTCTATCCACTGAGCCAAACTGGCTGGGGCTCTCCTTAGTTTCTTTTCATCTGAAACGGTTCCTCAGCTTTTCTTTGTATTTCTTGACCTTGACATTTTTTTTTTGAAGAATATAGGCCATTCATTTTGTGGAAGGTCCTTTATTTTGAGTTTGTCTGATGTTTCTTCAGGATTGGGTTCAGGTTGTGCATTTTTGGCAAGAAGACCACAGAAGTGATGTTGGGTCCTTCTCAATACATCATAGTAGGGGCACATGATGTCGGTTTGGACCAATTTGAGATCTTACTAATTGTACAACAACGGAACTTTCTTTAGCTTTATTTTTCCCATTTGGCAGGCATCTTGCATTGCAGTGCATTTTTCTTTTTTGCACAAGCATGTTAATGGGAAGTCTCTAAATTATTTTTCATTAGTTGCAAACAGCCAAAGTGCAATAACCTGGTGTTTTTTAAGGAAGCAAGTTTAAAATAGCATACATTTGCATGGCCGATGTGGCTCAGTGGTTGAGCATTGACCTATGAACCAGGAGGTTGCAGGCTTGATCCCCAGTGTGGGGGGTGCAGGAGGCAGCCGATCAATGATTTTCTCTCATCATTGGTGTTTCTATTTATCTCTCCCTCTCCCATCCTCTCTGAAATCAATAAAAATATATATTTTAAAAAATAACATACATTCATTTTCACTTATGGAGCTTTTATGTCAATAGGTATACTCAGATTAAAATATACTAGTATCTACTATCTATTTCAGGCAAAAATGAGAAAACTACATATTTGTAAATAATTTAGAAAAAAAATGTGATTTAAGATTATTAAAGGACAAACTTCCTGATGCAATGAACATATTTTTATTATATTTTTGAAAATCTAATTGGCTTTATTAAATGAATCATAAATTGGGCAGCATCTGTCTAGCAATTAGAAAGGTGCTCCCCAATGAACATATGTTTAAAATATCAATATTCATATTTCCTTAAAGTCGAAGACCCTTATGATTAACATGCTGACATGCCAGGTAATCGACTGTAAAACCAGAAGGAACTATGGGTTAGTGGGAAGGACTGAATTATCATGTGTGGTGTGGATCTTAACAGTAACTGCTGCATAATTATTTTAGGCAGATTCTCAGAGACTGGAAGAGGGGAGTCATGGAACTGGTGATGCCAAGAGGAAGACGCTGAAAACTGAGCCAAAGAAGAGTTTAAAATAAGAGCTGTGTCAACATGCATAAATTCACTTGCTTTGAAGAAGCTGCAATGGGATCCAGGAACAGGAAAAAAAAATATTGTTTTGCCTTTGCATGCCAACATGTAATCTCTCTTTTTCTTCTACTCTTTCCTTAAAACAACAATTGTCTGCATGTAGGATGAGTGTGTTTTAAATGGACCATTCAGTGCCTTTTGCCCCCTGTTCTTATTTCCAGTACGGAGCGGCAACATGATAGATTAGAAATTCTCCTGACTTTGGAGTCAGACTGACCCACGTTCTAAGCCTTGCTCTGCCATAGACTGCCCTGTGGCCTTGAGCAGGTCGCTTGGCCTTAGTCTCTATGTCTTTAAACAGGGAAAAAAAAACCTTTTCTGGGTTGGGAGGATTAGAAATGACATATATCAAGAGCTCACAGTACTTTACAAGTACTGTGGCCCCTAGTGGACATTCTATAATGGAAGTGGGACATAAGGACAGAGAAAAGAGCCCTCGCCTAGGAACTGGGGCATCATGGTCCTGGTCCCTAAGCCTTCATTTTACTATCAAGCACCTGACCTTGGGTTGCTCCCTCAAACTCTCTGGGTTTTAGTCCCATTAAGGAAGGCGTATTGGCTGGCGAGAAATACAGGTCAAGTTTGAGGGCATTAGCATGCTGCCACTAATGCAAAGGGGAAGCTCTTCACTGTACAGCTGACTGCTGCGCTGTGGGAACAGAACAAGCAAATGAGGGATCAGCTCTGCCTGGGCTGGGGTGGCATTTGAGCTGGGTATTGAATGCTCCATTATGGGCCTTCCCACTGGAGAAAGGAAGTGTTTCAGGCGAGGACAGAACCCTAAGGGTCCGGTCGGTGAGAAGCATGGTGCTGCCATGCAGTGCAAAATGGTGGCTCACATCCAGTCCCACTGCTGTCAGCTTCTGGGACTACCTCTGACTGTTGAGTTGTATCAAAGACATTTTAAGATTGGTGAACCTTCTGTGGGCTTTGGAAATCTTTTAGCTCTACTGTAGGGAAATGGTTACTGAAATGGGAGTTGCCCTCTAAATCCCCAGGTACCCACCATTTGGACTGGGCAGAGGAAAGTACCAGTTAAACATCAGTCTTAACTCATCAGTAATAACAAATACTTCCACGGGGCTATCTATGTGTCAGGCACTGTTCACTGTTCTAAGTACTCGACTTCCATTAATTTTTTTTTTTAATATATTTTATTGATTTTTTACAGAGAGGAAGGGAGAGAGATAGAGAGTTAGAAACATCGATGGGAGAGAAACATCGATCAGCTGCCTCTTGCACATCCCCCACTGGGGAAGTGCCCGCAACCCAGGTACATGCCCTTGACCGGAATCGAACCCGGGACCCCTCAGTCCGCAGGCCGACGCTCCATCCACTGAGCCAAACCGGTCTCGGCGACTTCCATTAATTTATTTAAACCTCAGGATAACTGTATGAAAGTGGTGCTATTGCCCTGGCCGGTTTGGCTCTGTGGATAGAGCATCAGCCTGCGGACTGAAAGGTCTCAGGTTCGATTCCAGTCCAGGGCATGTACCTTGGTTGCGGGCATATCCTCAGTAGTAGGTGTGCAGGAGGCAGCTGATCGATGTTTCTCTCTCATGGATGTTTATAACTCTCTCCCTTCCTCTCTGTAAAAAATAAATAAAATTTATTTAAGAAAAAGAAAGTGGTGCTGTTATGATACTTCCTTCACAGATGAAGAAATGTAGAAAGATTAGATCATTTGCCAAAGGTTACCTGCAACCAAATGGAATAATCAAGATAAGGATCCAAACTTTGCACAGTGGCAGTATCAGAGCCAATGAGGTTTATCCAAGGTGCGATTATTGCTAATTGAAAAATAAAATAAAATAAGGATCCAGGCTGGCCAACAAAAGGCCCTGCACCTAATCATTCTGTGAACTGCTCCTCTAGAGACTGCAGAAGAAAGGAATCAATCTTGTGGGAAAATAGATATTTAACTAGCACAGACAGTTGAGAATTTAGTTACATCTTCAAACTAAATGGTGCACTCAGACAAGAAGCCAGGGCATTGCTTTTGGGACCAAAACACGCTCTATTATTTGCTTTGGTAGCACTTTTGATTGTGTCATTACTTGGGACACTTAGGTAATGCATTGCAACGATCAAGTCTCCCTCCCCTGTAATGTGCCATTCTTTGCCAGAAATGAGAGGGGAAAAGGAAGTGGGGTGGGCTGGACAGCATTTTATGTGGAGAAATGAGGGCTTTGTAAAGAGGCTCAAGTGGAGGTTCTCTTAAGAAAGGCTGGCGTGGTATCTTTTCAGGGCTGAATGATGGAGCTTCAGACTTCCAATCTTCCCTCCAAGTCAGGCTTTCTTAAACTGGAGGAACCCTTTGGGGGTGGGTGGACATGTCTTAGGGCACTGAGAGTCTGTGGGGTGAGGAGAGTCTGCAGAGTAATGGCAGGGACTGACTTGTCATCCTTTTCTGTTCTACATGCTAGTTCTAGAAAGGCCAGCGGGGACACAAATGAAGATTATTATGACCGGCACTTGGAGTACTGGCTTGAAATGTCTTGAGGAAAGCCTTTTTTATAAATTATGTGGGTTTTTTTTTTTCTTTCTTTCTTTTCCTTTTTTTTTTTTTTTGTTAATCCTCACCCAAGGATAATTTTCCATTGATTTTTAGGGAGAGTGAAAGAGAGAAGGAAAGACAGAGAGAAACATTGAGGTGAGACAAACACATCGCCTGGTTGCCTCCTGCATGAGCCCCGACTAGGGCCCGGGCCGGGGAGGAGCCTGCAACCAAGGTATGTGCCCTTGACCAGAATCAAACCTGGGACCCTTTGGTCTGCAGGCTGATGTTCTATCCACTGAGCCAAACTGGCTAGGGCTAATTTACTTTTCTTAAATAATCCTCCAGAAAATTCTACCAATGAACTCTTAAAGACCTTCTGAATGGGCTGTGGACTGCCTGGCACCCTGGAGATCAGAAATATGATGGGGAATAGAGTGGGAAGTCACAAGGGATGGCGGTCACCCTCATCTCCCTCCCCCAACACCTGATCTCATCTCAGAGAACTCGGTCTCTCTTGGGGTCTTTGGAGTGTCAACCCCGATGTTCTATTTCTCAGTTCATCTGGAAAGACACAGATGTTGAGGGCCTACATTATGCCAGGCATGGTGCCAAGCAATGGGAGTGCAAGGGTGAAAAATCAGGAGTAGGAGCTTAGTGCCTAGGGTAGAGTGTGCCTTAATAATATCAACATTCTCATCATTGTAGCTACCTCCCATTGATCAAATGTGTCATCTGGCCCAGCCAGCATGGCAAGTGGTTGTATGTCAACCTATGAACCAGGAGGTCACGGTTCGATTCCCGGTCAGGGCACATGCCTGAGTTGCAGGCTCCATCCCCAGTGTGGGGCATGTAGGAGGCAGCTGATCAATGATTCTCTCTCATCATTGATGTTTCTATCTCTCTCTCCCTCTCTCTTCCTCTCTGAAATCAATAACAAAAATATTTTAAAATATGTCATGTGTCAGATACTGCCCTCTGTGCTTATCATATGTTTATTCATTTAATCCTCACAACAGCTCTATGAGGTGGATACTGTTATGAGCTTCATTTTACAGAGGGGGGATGGAGGCACAGAGGGATTGATGAACCCGTCCACTGTCGCACAGCTAGTAAGAAGGGGGTAGGAATTCACCACAGAAATGACCTGATAAAGACAGGCAATAGCTCCAGAGAGGAGAGAGGTGGGACACCCTCTCTAGGGTCATACTCCCTGATGGGGAGGGGCGCCTGCTGGTGGGAGGCAGCAGACTCACACACCTGGCTTTGGGGAGTTATAAGAAAAGGGGGGCAGTATGAGACAACAGCCAGGGTTAGCAGAGGTAGCACCATGAAGGAGTGAAGAGCCCGACTCTGGAGCCACCTGCCTGGGTTCAAGTCCCAGCTCTCCCGCCTTCTAGCTTCCTAACCTCTTTGCGCCTCAGTTGACTCATTGGTAAAATGGGGATAAGTGCACCCACCTTTTGGGGCTGTCGTAAGGATTAAAGAAGTTAGTGTTTGAGGTTAAAGAATGTTTTTCTCTGGGAAAACGGTAACCATGAGGCTGGTTTCCCAACAGCCTTCAATTTTGCTCTCCCCCCCCCTCGCCCCCGACATCCCCCACACACACCTCTAGTCAACTTCTTCCCATTAGGCATTTATTTGACATTTGCTTCAGGTGAGGAAGTTCAGGTGATGAAATTCACTTAATAAATTTCTGTGCAGCTTTACCTTGAAAACTTGGTTTGGCTACAAGCATTTTAAAAACTGAGGTAAAATTCACATAACATAGAATTAGCCACTTTATAGTAAAACATTCACTGACATTTACTGCATTTACATTGTTGGGCAACCACCACCTGTATCTACTTCCAAGACATCTTCATTACCCCAAAAGGAAACCCATTCCCATCAAGCAGTCACCTCCCTTCTCTCCTCCCTGGACACTGGCAACCAGTGACCCGATTTCCATTTCTATGGACTTACCTATTCTGGACATTTCAAATGGCTTCTTTCACACAGCACGTTTTCAAGGTCTATCTGTGCTGTAGCCTGGGTCAGAACTTCATTCCTTTTCAAGGCTGAATAATATTCTGCTTATCCACTCATCACTTGATGGACATTTGGCTGTTTCCACCTTTTTTTAAAAAAGTGTTTGTTTTTTTTTTTATTGATTTCAGAAAGGAAGGGAGAGAGAGATAGAAACATCAATGATGAGAGAGAATCATTGATTCGCTGTCTCCTATACCGCCCCCCCCCGCCCCCCGCACTGGGGATCAAGGGATCAAGCCTGTAACCCAGGCATGTGCCCTTGACCAGAATCAAACCTGGGACCCATCAGTCCCCAGGCCTATGCTCTATCCACTGAGCCAAACCAGCTAGGGCCTCACGGCTTCCTGATTTGACAGTGGCACCTGTGGCTTTACAGTGGCACCTCCTGTTGTTTTACTTATTTGTTTTTGTTATTTTGTTAATCCTTGCTGCAGGATATTTTTTTCCATTGATTTTTAGAGAGTGGAAGGAAGGGAGGGACAGAAAGAGAGAAACATCGATGTGAGAGAGACACATCGATTGGTTGCTTCCTGCACGCGCCCCTACTGGGGCCAGGGAATGAACCTGAATTCCAGGTGCCCTTGACCAGGAATCTAATGAGAGACCCTTTGGTTCATGGGCTGACACTCTAACCACTGTACACACTGGCCAGGGTTGTGTGGTTTTTTTAAAAAATATATATATATATATTTTTTAATATATTTTTATTGATTTTTTTACAGAGAGGAAGGGAGAGGGATAGAGAGTTAGAAACATCGATCAGCTGCCTCCTGCACGCCCCCTACTGGGGATGTGCCCTTAACCAAGGTACATGCCCTTGACTGGAATCAAACCTGGGACCTTTCAGTCTGCAGGCCAACGCTCTATCCACCGAGCTAAACCGGTTTCGGCCTTTAAATATATTTTTATTGATTTCAGAGAGGAAGGGAGAGAGATATAGAAACATCAATGTTGAAAGAGAATCATTGAGCAGCTGCCTCCTGCACGCCCCCCACTGGGGATTGAGCTCGCAACCCTGGCATGTGCCCCTGAGCAGAATCAAACCCTTCAGTCCTCAGGCTGGCACTCTATCCACTGAGCCAAACCAGCTAGGGCTGTTTTTTTTGTTTGTTTGTTTGTTTGTTGTTGTTTTTTAAACAAGGCTGATGCCCAGGCTGGACCTCATGGGCTGGGGCGCAAGCAGGGGTAGGCTTTAAAGCTTCCAGGTGATCTAGTGTGCAGCTCAGTTGGAAACACTGTGCCAAATATTCCAGGCCCCTCTCAGTTACACACTCTTCTTAATCAGAAATTTCATCGTGTTTAACTAGCTGGGTGAAGCCCACATTCATCTGCAAAATGGCGGGGGAGTCATCCAGATTTCTGTCAACCATTCTCACCCTAATAACTGAGGCCAGGTTTTTAAAGAAAGGAAGTGATTTCATCACAGCTGCACGCGGTGGGCAGGGAGGCAGAACGTCTCCAAGGGTCCCCAGTGGACTGGTGAAAGAGCAAAGAAAACAAAACAGTAAAACAAAGTTCTGGCTTTGATGGCAGGTGCAGCTGCTACTGGCTGCCAGCCCCTTACCTCTCTTCACAAGGAAGGTTGGGGACAGCAGCACCATGACTGGCCTCTGGGATCTGACAGCCTGGGACAGTGTCCAGTTAGCACTTTGCCTCCCCGCTTCTGCCACCACCACCTTCTCCTTTTTCATAGAGGGATTTTTCCCGTTTTGACTTCCTTCTTCCCAGTTGGTAGTTATTGTTGCTAACTGCAGGACAGTGTGGCTCCTCCTCAGAGTTTATAAAACTCGGTTGCAGCCCAGGTGGTGGGGCTCAGTGGTTGAGTGTTGACCTATGAACCAGGAGGTCACAGTTCTATTCCCAGTCAAGGGCACATGCCCGGGTTGCGGGCTCCATCCCCAGTGTGGGGCATGCAGGAAGCAGCTGATCAATGATTCTCCTCATCATTGATGTTTCTATCTCTCTCTCCCTCTCCCTTCCTCTCTGAAATCAATAAAAACACAACAACTCTGTTGCAGATGTTCAAGTTGGGCTGAATAAGCAGATGGGTCCTTGTGAGTGTGAGTTTTGGCACTAAACCTATGGTTTTTCACCTTCAGCGCTGACTTCATTTTAGTCACTACTGGCACTGCCCTCTAGTCACACACCCCCAGGAACACACCTGGAGTGGAACACGCAGGCTTTCTTCTCCTTGCAGTGAGGGAGAACGCACATCTTGGGGCACCGTGGGGCATCACAGCAAGAGGGTGTCAGGTAGGACCACATATAGGATTGGGGCCGAATTAGGTCTTTGGGGGAGCGTTTCAGGAAGCCGGGCATTGCTCAGGACTGGGGGCAGGGTAATTCCATG